AGGTGCGTCTCTAAACCATAGGCAACAAGGCTATGAGCCAAAGTATTTCTATCTCTAGGGACATGACGAATGAGAATGTTGCCATTGGTCCTGAAGATTTCTGCAACATCATTGATTACAACATACAATTCATGATGGAGAACATGATCCACAAAGTTGAAAAGCTTCCCAAGATATTCAAAGCCAGTTTCCAGTTTTATCTTCTTAACTCTGAATTCTATAGCAATGTTAAGACCTTCACGCATAGCAAATAATTCAGCTGCAGGAGGAGTGACAACATTATACCTGCTTGAAAATCCAAAAAACCAATTTCCATTGCTCCTTCTAATTACTCCACCACCAGCAACAAGTTCAGAATGTTTCTAAGCCCCGTCAGTATTTAACTTCATGAAACCCTACCTTGGTGGATTCTAGCAGGAGCTTGTTAAATATTTCTCTGCCAATTTTCCTTTTCCCTGCAGTATATGAGCAAAGGTTTGACAATCAACAAAGAATTTGTTGAAAGTATGCATAGAACGGAACATTTTTAGCTCAAAACAACAACATTTCGATCTCTCTAGATATGCCAAATACAAGTGGAAAAGATCATCTTCCACTTCTCAGATTGAGCTAAATTAAAAGATATCCCAATCCAAATTTTTGAGGGAAATATAATCGAAATTTTTAGGAATGGGATGCCTTTAGAAGATAAAATTCCACAAGATAGAGGAGGAAAAACAATATCTGAAGAGATATAAATGAGTTTCTTCAAACAAATTACATCTGCAGCAAGTAGAAGAGATGGCAAGAATAAGGGAAAAAAGGGAGGCAACAACTGGAAAAAAAGAATGAGCACAATGTCAAAGAAGCATATTGTATTTATGAGGAGTTTTGATTTTCCAAATATTTTTCCAGTTGGTATTCTGAGAAGTTAAGGGGGTATATGACTAGAGAGTGGGAGCATTGAAGATGATAGGCTGATTTGATTGTGAAATTTCCATCTTTAGAGGGAGCCTACCTTATAAAATTTTCCAAATTTGAGTTTGTAGAGATAGGAGTAGAGAGAATGAACTTGAGGATTTTATCAGGTAAGAGGTGCTTAATATTATCAAGAAACCAAGCTTTATTCCTAATAATATTTGACACTGCCCAATGAGCTTTATAAAGAGGAACATCACCATTTAGATAGTGATAAAGGGGTTTGGTACTAATCCAACGGTGATACCAAAGGGAGGTTGATTCACCATTTCCTATTCCAATAATCATATCCGAAGATAAAAGATTTCTCCCATAGGTCTCTCCGAATTAGTGAATGGAAAACTTTTGGTTCACAGTCTAAAAGAGAAAAACGATGAAGATATATTTCATTAAAGATTTTAACCCAAAGCTTAGAATGATCAGTAAGCATAGTCCACCCCAATTTAGCCATGAAAGCTAAGTTTCACTCTCTTAATCTCCTAATACCCAAACCTCCAAGAGCCATAGGTTTAGTCACAGTGGACCAACTAGTCCGAGGCATGTACCTTGATCTATCCACTTTATTCCATAAAAATTTCCTACAATTTTTCTCAAGAGAATGAATCGTGGAAATAGGATGCATGTTGGTTTGCATAGCATAAATTGGATAGGAATTAAGGACTTATTTGATTAAGGTTTTTCTTCCAGTTATATTGATAAGCTTTGCTTTCCATCCTTTAATTCTATCAAGGGATTTTTGGAGAAGGTCAAAATAGTAAAAGATTTTCAGTTTGTTTAGGCTTATTTCAACTCCAAGATATATGCCAAAACTGGTAGAAATTTTGAGGGGGAAAGAACAGGATATCTAATGTTTGACTTCGTAGGCTATGGAGGGAGGGAAAATAATAAAATACTTGACCATATTGACTTTTAAACCCGAAAGACTGCCAAACTGATTCATTATGCTCATGATACTCTCTAGATTTAAAGTAGAAGCATGACCAAAGGAATACATCATTGGCATAAAAAGAGATGTGAGAGGGAAATATTCCTAGAAATTTTGAGAGGCTTTCAATTTTTTGATTGAACAGCATGTCCAATCATCAAAGATAATCTTTCTAAACAAAGAACAAATATGTAAGAAGAAATTGGATCCCCTTGCCTTATACCCCAAGAAGGAGAAAATTCATTGGTTATTTGACCATTCCACAAGACAAAAATTTAGGAGTGGTAATGCAAGCCATAATGAGATCAACCAATCTATAAGGAATTCCAAAATCCCTCAGAGTGACATCGATGAAACTCCATTCTTAACTATCATAACCTTTAGCTAAATCAAGCTTTAAAGCCATGATTTGTTTTCCTTTCTTAGCCTTTTTAATAAGATGGGAAACTTCTTTAATCACAATGATATTGTTCTCTATTTCTCTTCCTTGAATGAAACTTGATTGTAATGGATTGATGAGAGAAGAAAGGAGAGGGCGAATTCCAGCAGATATAACCTTTGTAATTAATTTATATATTGAATTGCAAAGACCAATTGGCCTAAAATCACTAATGTAATCTGGTTGAGCTTTTTTGGGAATGAGGGATATGAAGGATGAATTTATTTGTGAAGGGCTCCTGATGAAATATTATACACAAAATTTATGAAGAACATCCCCTAAATCATCCTAATAAAAACTGAAAAAACCTAGGTTGAATGCCATCAGGGCCAGGGCAATTCATAGGTTGCATACTAAATAAACACTTTCTAACTTCCTCCAATGATGGAATGGTAGCAAGCTGGGAAGCATCGGTAGCATCAATTTTAGGAGAAGGACTAAAACGAGGCTGGATAAAAGAGCTGGGAATGGTAGATGTAAATAAATATTGAAAGTGAGTTGTGGTCATATCTTTTAACAAAGATCGATCCATAACCTAATTATCTTGCTTATTTTTAAACAGGCAATTTTTCCACAAGATTTTTTAATACAAGCTACAACATGGATATATTTAGTATATAAATCTCCAAACTTCCTCCCATAAATTCTAGCCTTTTGAGCCCAAATTATTTTTTCCTTTTTAAAAAATATCATGAAGATCCTTTAAAAGCTCTTTTTCCAAATTAACAAGAAAAGAGGAATTATGATAAGCCAAAGAGATTTGGATGCCATCAATTCTTGCCAACAAATTCTTTTTTCTTTTTTGCAGATTACCAAACACATTCGAATTCCAATTTTTAATATTACCTAAAAAAATTTGCTCACCTAGTAAAAAATTATCATTCGGGTTTTTCCAAATTAGAAATAAAGAAATTTTTAAAATTAGGGTGTTCAAGCCAAACTTTACATCTAAAGGGAAAATTGCCATCAGCAAAAGAATTATTTAAGCAAACTAAAATTGGAGAATGATCAGAATGAGTTTTCTGAAGATGGATTACCTTTGTGTTGGGGAAAGATTCCAGCCACTTAGCATTACCAAGCGCATGATCCAGCCTTTCACGAATATGATCAATGCTCTCCCTAGCATTATTCCAAGTGAAAGGATTGCCATTGAAGCCAATATTGACTAATCCCGCTATGTCCATGAAATTGTTCAAATCACGACATTGAGAAGGACAGAAGCTACGACCTCCAGATTTCTCAGATTGAGAGGTGAATTCGTTCAAATCTCCCAACATTAACCTAGGAGTAGAAGAAGGGGGAACATCCTCATCCATTTCCTTCCAATAATTGTGCCTTTTAAAAGGATTGCTCGTTGCAGGCATCCCGATAATGAGTGCTTTTGAGGCTCCGTTCTTAAAATGAAATAAGGCATGAAATCTATGCAGTTCATATGAGTAAGAGGGAATCAACAATGTTTTTCCAAAATAACCATATTCATCCTCGCCTAGCAGTAGGTTGAATTGCCAAGTTATGAAACCCTAATTGGAGCATGACTTGACGAGCACGTATATCATCATTTTTTGTTTCCAAAAAGATGAAGATAGTTGGCTTATGATTAGTAACAATTTTCCAAGCAGTAGGAAGAAAATCATTTTTATTTACACCCCAAACATTCCACAGAATAACTTTCATCTTTAAATTTGGAAAGGGCCTTGGGACGTCAGTTGTTTAATTTCGGATTGAGGGGGAGATAATACTCACCCCAATCCCTCCATGCATTGCAACACAACTTCTTGACAGGATTCTAAGGAAGTGATTCGAAAAGATAAACTGACAAATTAGGCTACAATTTCTTGACACGATTTTAAGGAAGTGATTAGAAAAGATAAATTGACAAATTACGCTTAAATATTTAAACCGTAAAAATTTAACAACACTATTTGTTATCGATGGTAAAATTATTTCAATTAATTTCTTTGATTGCTTATTCTACTACTTCCTCTGTTCTTTTTTACTTGACCTGGTTCTATTATCACGTTTGTCAATGCAAAAGTTTAGCAATCAATAATTTTAATTCTCTATAAGTAAAAATTATAAAAGTTGTATATTATAAGTCTGTTATCCTCAGCTTAATTTCAGTTCAATTCAGTTCCTAATTTAATTTCCTTCTCTCATAAACAATTTATTTCAGTTCAGTTTTATTCAGTTCATTTCAATTTAGTTCAGCTCAGTTCAATTCAGTTCAGTAAAGTAAATAAGAACAGTCCCTATAATAGTACTTATTGAGACAAATTAAAAAAATCTCACATGAATATATTTTTTCTTACATATCATTCATAAAGGACGGTAATAAAAAAAAGGTGGTGAATAGTGTAAAAGTCAAAGCTGATCAAGAAAAAAAACGGAGGAAGTTTCAGTTAGCTCTATCGACAAGTCAACAGATGCACACCTCCAATTTTGAGACACGTACATAGTTACCAACTCCGTAAGGTTCATGGCTTTAATAAAATACAACCCCACCACATGAAAAATACAATATTTATCTAACAAATAAACAAACACGTACTGTTGTCAAATATGGTAGACAAAAATCTCAAAATGAATAATGCATTGGACTTACCACCGACCCAAAAAACAATGATATAAATTAAAAAATTCATCAAAACTAAAAGTAGAATAACAAGATTGATATTAAAATATAATGATTGCATATTCATACAATCCATTACATATATATCAAATTATCAATCAAGTAATGTTAAGCTCAATCATGGAGATTTCTTGGTTATGCTTAGCACTTTTCATAAGTTCTCTAATTATATTATTTAATCTTTTGAAAAAACAAACACATAACAATTTACCACCAGGACCAACAAAGTTACCCTTGATTGGCAACTTACACCAACTAGCATGGGGTAACACCCTCCCACACCGTCGCCTCGCCGAGCTGGCGACGGTGTATGGGCCTATCATGCACCTCCGGCTAGGGGAAGTCCCTACCGTAGTCGTGTCATCGGCTGACACGGCGAGGGAGGTTATGAAGACTCATGATGCGGTGTTTTGTAGTAGGCCAACTCTTATGGTTGGAAAAGAGATTTTTTATGGTTCCTCGGATATTGGATTGGCCCCGTACGGTGAGTATTGGCGGCAGGTGCGGAAGATCTCGGTGCTCGAGCTGTTTACGATGAAACGGGTCGAGTCGTTTCGGGTTATTAGGGAGGAGGAGGTTGCGGAGTTTGTAGAGTTGCTAAGGGCGGAGGCAGGGTCTGTGGTTAATCTAAGCAAGAAACTCTTTGGCCTTAGTTTTGATATTACATCAAGGTAAATTGCGTTTACTTTTGAATTTTAACTTTATTCGATTTTGGGTTAGATTTATCTAATTTAGTTGGTAAAAATATACAACATACATCTAAAAATTAATTTGTATATCTATTGATAACGTCAAAATTAAATTTTTATATACATCATCAAATGAGTATCTCAATATTTAATCTCTAAATTTTTAGAATAGAAGGTAGAAAGCGTGTCACTATTCCACCACCTTATCTTAAAGGGAGAGCCAATTGATATGAACGCAAATTTAGAAAATCCTGATTCTCGAAGTAGGAATTTTTTTGACTTAAACCACAATTCCAATACTCATTTTCTTTCATATGACCGAGACACCGCCTAACCGACTAAGATACGAAGTATAATATTGTTACATGTTGTCATGTTGATTACAAATACTCCTTCCGTCCTTAAATTACATTCTTATTTTTAGCATTTATTCCTCAAATAATAGAGGAAAGTAGAATGTAATTTAGGAACAGGGAAGTATAAGATTTGTGTTTACATATACTAAAAAATTAACGTTTTTTAAGTACTTGCGTTATTAATTTGTTATTTATCGCTTCATCATTTTTTATTTTTACTATCTCAACAATGGTTTAAACACTTCTATATTGTTTTGATTTCATTTTGGTTTAAAGACTATAAAAAGTTAAATAAACAAAATAATTTGAGATAGAGAGAGTACAGTGCTAGACGTAATTTTAAGAACTTGTTCATCCTTTATTTCACAATTAAATTAACGGAATCGATCATAATGTGTAAAAGTAATTCAAAATTTTAATGAATTTATGGCCCAATAAATCAGGATAGCCTTCACTAAGAAAGGTAAAGAGCAAGAGGAATTTCAAGCTCTAGCCGTAGCTGTTACAAAGATTGCCTCAGGTTTCTCCATAGTAGACCTCTACCCGTCGCTTGATTTTCTTCAATCGATTAGTGGGATGAAGAAGAAACTCAAGGAGCTTGTTCAAGAATCAAATAGAATACTTGATCCTATAATTGATGAACACAAGTCGAAGATGAGAGATCAGGGTAAAGTAGAGGAGGACTTGGTGGATGTTTTGCTCAACTTTCACAAGGATAGTGTCGCAAATTCTCATAACTTCTGCTTGAGTACAGATAACATTAAGGCTGTTGTATTGGTAAGTTGCCGAAATTCCTTTTTTTTTTTTTTTTTTTTTTTTTTTTTTTTTTTTTTTTTTTTGCACTATTTACATGTTCTACGACTGATAATGTTTTTTTTAAAAAAAAAATTACATAATCACGTAAGTACTTGTTGAAATTATCTTAATTTATCTATATACAGAGTATATAATTTGAATATCAACTTTTTATAATATACTTGTTGATAATTAAAGATATTTTATTAATTTAAGTTTCATATCATATAACTAATATATAAAGCTAAACTTTTAGCCAGGCGACGAGACAACGACACTTGGCGTTTCAACTTTTCGCCAAATGTCGCGCCACGTAGGATAAAGTTATATATTTAATTTGTAGGATAAAAAAAATAGTTTATAATTCTATTTTCAATCAAATTTTGATAGAATTTTAGGATAAAATTGTTAATTTAGAGTTTTATTTTCGATAAAGTACCAATATTTCATGTGTACAAATTGAATTATTATTTTATTCAAAAAATAATTAGATTATAACTCTCATAAATTATCATATAAATTTATTTTTTGTATCATAATACTTTTTAGAGATAAGGAATTAAATCAAAATGCACCACATCCATTATTTATAATATATTCTAATCAATTTAAATAATATATACTTCACAAGTCATTGTCAATCGGATCTGGTCACAAGTCATTTTAAACAGGTTCATTATTTCAGGTTATGGGTCAAGAAATATTTTTCACCAATATTAAAATTTGACATATAGATTAAAATTTTATCTTAAAATTCAATAAACAACCCGGACATCGCACGGGCACAAAACTAGTTAACATATATTTCCAATCAAACTAGGGTACTTATTAAAACAAAGGGAATACAAATTTCTTACATGGTACGGAGTATTAGTATTGTACATCCGTATAGTATTATTGTAACATATAACATTAATGTGTCATGGTGTTTGTTTATTGTTAGCGTTTAGGTTGTTTTTTTTTTATTATTTTTTTTATTTAGTTCTAGGTTGTAATTTGTCTTTGTTATTTATTTATGAGTTCTCTTTGTCAAAAAAAAATATTATTGTGTCATGTGTATGATAGTATGTTACTCTTCTCTAGCTCATGCGCTAAGGGTTTTATTAACTCGTAATGGCGTAACCTTTTACTTGAAATGTAGAGACTTACATACCAACTAATTAATGTATATAATTTTTTATTGTTTTGCTTATTTGAACATAAAATAATGAAACACCACCTTAGTTTGTAAAAGTATATATTTGACATTAATTTCTTAACATATATACATTGTATGTGAATAATAGTATGGCAAAATTTCCAATTTGCTTGTGCTTATATTGGATAGGAGCTTTTTGGTGCCGGAAGTGAGACATCATCAACGGCAATGGAATGGGCAATGTCTGAATTGCTTAAAAACCCAAAAGCAATGGAGAAGGCACAAGCTGAGGTACGGCGAGTATATCAAAGGGAAGTTGTAGTTAATGAGACGAAGCTACACAAACTAACGTACTTGAAACAAGTGATCAAAGAAACCTTACGCCTCCATCCCCCACTTCCTCTCTTGGTTCCTAGAGAATCCGTCGAAAGATGCCAAATCCAATCTTGTGACATACCTATCAAATCTCGAGTAGTTATCAATGCATGGGCTATAGGAAGAGATCCTAAATCTTGGTCGGATCCTGAAAGATTTAATCCTGAAAGGTTTGACAATTGTTCATCGGATTACAAAGTAGATGATTTCGAGTTACTTCCATTTGGTGCAGGGAGAAGAAAGTGTCCGGGCATGGCACTTGGTATAGCTAATGTTGAGCTACCGTTAGCAATGTTACTCTACCATTTTGATTGGAAACTACCTAAAAATTTAGATATGGATGAATCTTTCGGCATCACAATGCGGAGGAAAAATGAATTGCATGTAATTCCAATCCCTTGCCCTTATTAACCATGAGTAAGCATGATTTTTTCTTTTATTGAAATTTGATTTTTCATGTGTTGAACAAGTTATATTGGGAGACTTTGTGGTTTAATTTTGTTTAGAAAGCAAATTAGATGAAGATCCACGTTTGTTTGTTCATATTGTGCTGTTGTTACACCTATTTCTAGGTGCATGAGTGTGCACCTAAGAATATGCACCTCCATTCATATTAGAAATCCATTTGTAATGGGTTGACGTTAACGTCTATGCAGCTGCGGCCCTACAAGTGTAGTTTTGAGATTTTGAAATCCATCTACTACCTCCGTTAATTTTGTGCAATTTTGGGGTATTATTTATGAGATATAAAATATACCAAAGTTGCACATAAAAATTAACGAAGGTAGTATTTTTATTCTAAAGTCCTTGACACTTCCCTCGGCTCCTTTCAGGTGTCTTAAATTGAATTGAATTAACTAGGGTGGCAATTTAATCTAAGTTCGATCGATTCAAATCCGATCCGAAGAAAAAAATCTAATTTGAATCCGTTTAAAATTAGGTCGAATCCGATAAAATAGATCCGAATCCGAATAGGAGGTGGATCGGACTTGGACCCTAGCAAAGTCCGACAGGGTCCGATCCGAGTCCGAATCCGAGAGTATAAGCATATGCTCTATAACTTGGGACAATTATTTGCTTGTTTTGTAACAAAATTTTGTTACGTAACTTAGTTTGTAATTTAAATATGTTATGTTTATACTTTAATTGGTATGATAATACAAGCAATTATAGGTATATGACATTACAAAAAATAAAAATAAAAAAATATTCGGATCATTTCGGAGTTCTGTATAAACGGACCTAATTCAGATCCGAAAATTACGAGTCGGATCGGATTCGGACTCGGATTTTTCGGATTCGGACTCGAATTCGAGTCCAGGGTCCGTTTACTAAACGGATCGGATTCGGATTTAGCCACATCCAACCCGAATCCAATCCGTTGCCATTCCTATAATTAACACATCATCTACACTCTACAGTCTACAGCAATTGTCATAGATTATGGATTATGTCTTAATAAAGACTCCAAAACAATGCCAAACTTTTCAAATTAACTTCACTGTTACTTAAAAAGTAAAATGAAAAATTCAAATATTAAAGGATAGTCGTAGACTTTGTGGGACTTTCATACAAAAAATGTCTACATATATAATAGGGAATACGATTTTAAGCTTTGTTTTATAGATATTGTATGGCTATTTATTAGTAATAATATTTTTCTTCTTGAAAAAAAAATTCAATAATAAAAATAAGGATATATATATATATATATATTTTTTGGGTTTTTCTACATTATAACCCTCTAATTTTCCGTTTTCTATGATGTGCCTCCCCCCCCCCTTTTGAGAAATCTACATTGTAACCTCAAAATACATTTAGCTTCTATACGGTAACCTTGTCGTTACATATATTGTCGTTAACAAATTCCGTTAGTACATGTATTTTGAGGTTACAATGTAGATTTCTCAAAAAGGGGGGCACATCGTAGAAAACGGAAAGTTAGAGGGTTATAAGGTAGAAAAACCCATTTTTATTATTATTTTTAGGTAAGATGAATGACACTACAGACTCGACATCTTTTACAAATTAAGTTAGTCAACTCGAAGTTTGTTGCTCGCTTCTTCATGACGGCTGCTTCCTGTGGTGAATAAGGGAGTATGTCGTCTTCTAAATATGCCCGGATGCCATCCATCCAGGTAGAGCTTCGGTCTAAGATTCCAATGGACTCTTCATGTATGCTTCTCTTTTCAAGAACTTCCCAAAAGACCGACCGGGGCGTATCACAGCACACTAGTAGAAAAATTGAAAATGCCACCGCTTAAAGGCCACCGGTATTTATAAACCGGTGGTTTAAAAAATGGGCGGGCATAGGGCAACAATTATTTCCACCGGTTCAAACCGAACCCGTGGCAAAAATGCTTAAGGCCACCGGTTTTGAACCGGTGGTGTAGGGAATAGTTTCAAGCCTTTAAAATCCCACTAGCTTGAACCCCACTGTGATCATACACTAAAGTACGGTGGCGTCTAAAAGGGAAGAAGATAGAGCAAAAGAGTCGCCAACAAGTTTTTAAGGAACTTGTAAACCGTTCACGAGGTGAAGGTTACACCCCTTAACGATCCAAGAGGTCGTCAACTCCATAAGGTCATGAACCAAATAAGGGTCCGGGGATGAAGGTACAAATCCAACCTAAAAGAGATTGAACCTGCCCTAATAATAATAGGCCTCTACTTTATTCTGCTAGTATTCATGTGCGCTTTCTGACTAACATACAATCAATAGGATTAACCCTAAACCTGTTTAATCTATGTTGGTTGAATTTAATGCACAAACAAACTATTATTGGCAATCACTTGAATTATAATCATAATTAACCCTAAACAAGATTATTAATTATCTTATTAAGCGTGATTACAAGTACCAATTCCCTTTAAACATGCAATAAAAGGTGATCAAGCAATAAATAATATATAATGATATGCATATCAAGCAACATAATAAATAATCAATAATAATAATCATAATCATGAATAATAATTATAAATATTAGGAAGAATATAGGAAGCATCGCAGGAATCATATTTGATATTAAAGTTACCCTAGACATGATACTAGGAATCAAAATAACAATCTAAGTATGATATCTACATCATAATATCAATTAATCTTTAAAGTGCTTACTTGGATGCCTCGTACCTCTTTCTAATTACAAAATACACACGTTAGTAACTTCAAGGAAAATAATAATCAAAACAATTAAATTAAATAATTGAAATAGAGATTTGGGACCAAACCCTCAGAAATTAGAACCTTTCACGTCTAGGGCGAAGGCAACTTCGAATATGGCTAGGTGTTTCTAGATCTTGTGAATGCGGAATTTTGTATGAAAACCAAAGTTTAGAAAAAGAAAGAATGGATGTATGATGAAAGTTTGATGAAAAGAGATGAATGCTAATTGATGAATAAATTGAATGAAGAGAGTTGATAAAAACTTAAGAATAAAGAGAATTGGTGAACGATAGATGTAGATGATGATTGAAAACGGAGTTTTTTGATACGATATTTATTGTAAAAATCATCCAAAAAAGATAATTTATCAAAACAGAGTCTGAAGACCACAAAAACACATTGGCGCCAGCCCTAGCTCATTGGTGCCAGGACCAGTGGCTAGCACTAGGCGCCAATGGCTGGTGTCTGGCACCAATCCTGATTCCAGGCACCAAGGCCTGGGGTTGGACGCCAAATTGGATTTCAACGCGTTTTTGAAAATCTGATAAATTTCCCGTACTGGAAGATAAAATAATATAATTTCAGTCGAAAATGCTATTTGATCTAATTAAAACTATGAAGAATCCTAATTGAATTAAGAATGATAAGACCTTCTAGAATGTTCTAGAATACCAAAACCATTCCTAATTGCATTAGGAATGATAAATCATATTAGGCCCTCCCTTAGATCATTGGGCCGTACTTAAAACTCAAACCGGGCCCAGTTTAGTAAATTGGCCATAACTTCCTCAATATTCATCGAAATTGGGCTTATAATATATCGTTGGAAAGGTCTTTGCAAGCCCCATCCAAATACACCACTATTGGACCCATATCATGGACCAAACAAACTGGATTGGCTGTTTTCTTAAAATAAAGTTTTTAAAAACAGGAAGAAGAGAAAAGAAATAAAACTTTCCGCAACACTAGACCTTTCCACACTTCGTTTCATTCGATTATGATTCGACGTGAAAGGTACTCATCACTGGGTTTGGTTTAGGGGAGACAAAAATGGGTGTCTACAGGTGGCAATATTTGAATAAAAAAAAACGCGCCTCTTCTACTACTTCTTCTCTTTCGCCCAGATTCTCTATTTCACTCTAAAAAAAACCCTCTTTCAATCGAGCAAAACGCCAGGCACGACTCCTCTTCATCTCCCTTCCACCACACACTCCACCAGTGACGCCACAGCAGCCACCGCACCACCATCCACCACCTCCGCACTCCGTCCACCACATCCGCTCACCTCCAAACTCCTTCCAACATCGAGCACAAGCAGCGCAGCACGCAAGTTAAGGGAACCGTGCGTGGTCCTCCACCACCTGTCACCACAGCCACCACACCACCATCCCACAGCCACCGCACCACCATCCCACAGCCATTAGGTGAGATTTCGGGTTTTAGCCCTAATTTACGAATTTTGAATCAATTTTTTGGTTTATTTTTCGGAATTTTCTGGCTGGTTTTTGTTGTTGGTAGGGTTTAAATTTGAGTGATTTTATTGTGTGTTTTAAGTATCAATATTTAATCAATAATCTCCTCATTTGTGTGTATCTTTAGAATGCAAGAAATTGATTAATTGTTCATGCATGAATTAACAGTATTTTCGAAAATTTATTTTGAATAATTTTTTTATTTCTTTCACTGTATTATTATTATTATTATTATCGATCAATTTGTTGTTGCTTAATTTTTGGTTAATTATAGTATGAATTGATTTATTTTGGAGTTAGATTGAGGAGTAATCCGTTTTAGATTACATTACATAATGAGTTTCCTAATGCTTTTAGGAAATATATGGATTATGGAAAGAGTGGTGTTAAATTGATTCTTAGGTTTTATTTGGAAATTTTGAATAAATTAGAGATTATTAGTAACCTTGTTACTTAATTAGTTGAATTTGGTAGTATATTGTTGTTTTAATTTCTTTAATATTATTATTATTATTATTATTATTACTATTAATTTGTTGTTGTTGCTTACTTTTTGGTTAATTATAGTATGAATTGAATTATTTTGGAGTTAGATTGAGGTGTAATCCGTTTTGGGATTACATTACATAATGATTTTCCTAATGCTTTTAGGAAATATATGGATTATAGAGTATAATTTGATATGTTGGAGTGGTGTTAAATTGATTGATAGGTTTTATTAGGAAATTTTGAATAAATTAGAGATTATTAATAACCTTGTTACTTAATAAGTTGAATTTGGTAGTATGTTTTAATGTGTAATTTTAGGTTGTTTTATAGTTCTTGACAAAATTACTAACTTTTATTTTTTTGTTATATTTTTTATTTTTGTAGATTCATATTATGTAGTGAAGCACAAGCTTATAAACTATTCAAGTGGGAAGTTCGAGACATTACAT